TAGAGTCCTTTAAATTGGTTTCTTGTAGCATTATAATGTCTAAATTATAGGATTTTAAAAGAGTAAGAGTATTTTGTGCCTTAGGTCTGTTATTCAGACCTTTTACGTTAAGTGTAGCGATCTTAATCATGTGAAATAAAATTGGGGTTTGTGCTACACTAATTAACTCCTCTTTTTTAGTGTTCAGTTCTGGGTCCGCTTTTTTGCGAACCTTCTGATCCTCTATATGGGTGATAGTTATCACCAAGACCTTTTTTCTTATTCTTGAGTTTTTGTTTTTTTGAGACTACTGTGGTAAATGGAGGGTCTTTAGGGTCTTGATCCTCTGATTCTGTTGTGCTATTATTGTTTGGAGAAATAGCTTTAGAAGTAGTTTCGTTTGGTATATCTGTTGTGTTTTTTACTGTAGATTCAGTAATCATTTCCGTTACCGGGGTTTCTGTATCATTACTAGTTTTATTAGGAGTTTCTGGCACTGGAGTGGAACTACCGCTAGAGATAGAGTTTGTCTCTATTTCCATCTCCTTGGTACCTGGCTTAGTGTAAGGGTTGTTTTCGCTGATTTTTAGATCTATGGAAGATAGTTTTTGGGCAGTCGATTGTCTTAGTTGGGCTCTGGCTTCCTTGAGTTCCTGTCTAACTCTGATAGAAGCTTTCAGTTCTTCACAATCTTTTTTGATATGTCCTTCTTTTTCACAGAAAAAACAGACTTTCGGGGCTTCTTTCCAGTCTATAGAGACTTTATGATCGTCAATATGTGTACTTCTGGGAAGTCTGGTTGCTAGATCAGTATCCTCAGTGGTTTCAAAAGTTACCAACCATTGGTCTGAGCACACTGTAGTATCTTCAAAGAAAAGTGGCTTTATTGAGACTACTTGTCCTATATCTTTAAATGCTTCTAAAATAAAGTCTCCTATTGCATTGGCATCACCCATTGGGGTGCCTCGAAGTTTAACTGTAAGGAAGGACCTTCTGATATTAACTGGAATATAACCAAATAGGGTTTGCTTGAAAAGGTTAACACCCTCAGAGGCATATTGCTGTACTTTTTCTTTGTCTTTTAAAATGATTTCTAAAGAAAATCTTTTCCCCTTTGTTATATGTGCCTTTGCTGCGAGAAGATTGCTACCTAGCTTTGCAGCTAGTGCTGCTATGATGTCATTCGTACTAATATTGATTAGGCTTTGTATATCTAAAATCAGAGCATTTTCATTTTTGGTATGTATTCTCTGTCTTGGAGATGCTTTAGAGAATACTGCTTTTCCTCCTTTGAGCTTAGGAAATAAGTTAGACCATTGCATAGACTTTCCCGAATTAGAAGATTTGTTCTTGGCTTCAACTGCTTGATCATGTGGCTGTGATTCCGGGTCCGTAGCTCCAGACCCTGAGTTGGTGGCTTGGTTATCATCACGTGTGTAATTGTAGTTATTTTCGCTTGACACGTGTTTTTTGATATTGTTGTTGTTTTCAAGACGTGACGTGTTTGTTGTTTCTTCTGAGTCTACCCATGGGTTCTTATGCTCTAAGAGAGTAATTTCCTTAGTGACACTGCTTTGCAGTTCTTTCTCAGCATCATTTGCCCAGTTAATATAGGAGTTGCTATTCAAGATAACAGTTTGGTTATCTAGTTCTGGACTACTTTTGGCGTTGTTGACTTCTTTCGTAGTTGCTGCTACTTTTGTATTCTTCGTTTCTTCTGGAGAAAAAGTAAAAATTTTTTCTTTTGGGTCGGAAAGTTTAGCCTTTTTATTTTGGTTTTTGCCCATATTTGTCAGGACAAGTTTCCTTTTTGCTGGAATAAGGGCTTTGGCCCTATCGACTTTGGAGTTTTTGTAAAGAGCCTGGTTGTTTTTTGTTAAAATTTTGTTTTTTTTTTTTTTTTTTTAATAAATTCTGGGTGTAAACCGGAAAGAGTTTTTGAATGGCTTTTTTCGTCCTTGGGTCTTACAAAAACTAAGTCTAGAAACCGCCTTTCACCTGATACACTTTCAAAGCTCGACAGATCAAGAATGAATTACAAAAGGCCATTCCAACTAAAAAAGATAGAAAACAAAGGATTACTAGTCCTGTCAAAGAATATTATTTGATGAGATAGAAGAACAGGATGAAATTAATGAAGAACTTAGCATTGTAATATCGAATATGAAGAGACTTCTCTTATGGAGGAATTTTTTGACTTCGATGCATATAAAAGAGATCAGAAGGCTTTGTTACTTGAAGAGATTAATATTTTCATGCCGCAAAATGAAGAGGAAGATTGGTCTATTGAAGATATTCTCACACAACATAAATAGATTTATTGATTAGTATAAGTATATATCAAAGCAATATGTTTATATAAAATAGAAGAACTTTACCTCTTGTATATCAGATATATAATACAAATAAGTAAAGAACTAACAAACAATGTATATTTGTATTTTTAACAATATTTCGAAACAAAATGGAAATAAATATTTTAAATGTTTAGTATGTAGAACTTTATTAAAATATACAGATATATACGTATAAGTATTTTTTTTCTGTTGCTTCAATTAGCGTTTGAAGATGATCAATTAACATTTTATCATTTTACCGGTATAGTGAAAATCGTTTTTTTTAAGTAATTTTAAATGATTTTGATTGGTTAATTATTTGTTATATGATTTTGTATGGGCATGCCCTATGGGCATGCCACAAGCTAAGGCATGCCCACTAAGGCATGCTGATTTTTTTACCCATGCCCTCAACCCTACTTGAAACACATCATTTGTTTGGGTAAACTAGCTGTTTTCTTTTTTTGCCACTTTGGTTTTCTCAACTGTTTCTTTTTTGTTTTCTGCTGTATTTTCCTGCATACTACTGTCTGAGTTCTGGCCTACTGTTTGGAGCAACTCCTTATTTTCTGTATCTTTATAGCTTGTTCCCCAAATTTCGGCTAAATTTTCTTCTTCTTCAGTAGCTGAAGTTCTTGCCTTTTTATTTTTTCTGTTGAACCCTGAGTTGTCTATGCTGGACGTTTCCATACTATCTTGCTTACGTTTCTAAAGTACCTTGTTGTTTTTGTATAAAAAGTGGCGAGTTTTGTAAAGTAATTTTATTGTCACCAAATTTCCGGAAAGAGTTTTTTTGATTTAAAAAAATTGAAGTTTAATTTTTTTGTTTTGATAGAAATTAATTATTTTTTTATATATTGTAAATCACAGGTGATAATCACTTGCAGTGATTTCTAGTTATTTTCTAGTTTATATTATAATTAAAAGGAATAAAATATATAAATTTTAATTGTTTTATTATCTAAACAAATTTGATTGGTTAATATATTATTAAGTATTTCTTCTGTAAAAAATGAACTTGGATTATCTGGATTTATGGCAGTTTTTTTTTTTTTAAAAAAAAAACCACAACTTATTATATTTTTTTTTTTGGTTTCAACGGTAGCCACTTTATTACCTCTGAATGGTTAAGTATACACATAGTAGTACAGCACTAGTCTATATACATTTCTATATATATCCTGGGTCCCTCCCCCCGCGGTGTTACAGTTCCCAGTACCATACCCTCACTCATGCGTAAAGCATCACACAGCTGCTCAAAGGTGCCTATGTGTAACCATCTAGCCACTGATTTACCTCCCCTTTGGCCCCTAACTTACTAGGAGGTTACCTACTGGATCAACAGAAGGCCATGCTCGCCTTTTTGCTAGGGCACCTGTCCCATTTATGTACCTTACCCAGATTTCGGTAATTTTATGCCACAGCTTGACCTATGCACTCAGGGTCAGGGCTAACCATTGAACCTCTTGTATTACCTACTTCTTGCCCTTATTAAGGTTCACAACAATCCCAATACCCACATTTGGTACTGTCTTCTTACCTGGATTCTTTATCGATCTCTCTCTTACTTCTAGCTAGCAACCCGGAAGAGTCGGTTTTGCCCAGTGGTCGTTCAGTTCTTCGATCTTGGGCCCTGGTTCGAATTCAGCCCTCATGTAGTACCATCGTAATCATCACTATTCCTTAACTCGGGACTTCCCAAATGGGTTTTCGGTTATCTGGTTCTTGGCTTTATTGTGCCATTGCTCCCATTACTAGATGGTGTGACCGAAGTTACAGATTTATCTAAGATCCAACCAATAATCATAACCATCAACCATAATGCAAGTCTATTTTTCAAAATTTGTCATCCATGGGATTCAAACTCTAGACCTGCCACTTAGAGAGGGTAACAACTAGACCACTAAGTCACTACACCTCAACTTATTATATTTACAATAAAGATTTTATATATTTTAGTATTTTTTTGGTTGTTGTATTTGGGGTAGATCTAAAACTAGTAGTTCAGAAGAATTATTTACTACACGAAAAAAAAAAAAATCCAACATTTATATAGGTGACAAAATATATGAAATCTATTCTGTGATTGCACGTGTAAACTACCAATCAGCTAATATATGAAATATGTGAATAACGATTATTAAGCAACTAAAGATCATTTATTTTTTTTTTGAAATATTAAATAAGTCACTATTGACTAACAGAAGTTTGCCTTTTGAGGAGATGATTATTGTATGTACCAACACCATATTTCATAGATAGTAGTGATGTGCACCTATGTAGATTGCTTTGCTAATTGGGCATTTTAACAGAAAGTGCTCAATCGTTTGTATTGTAAATGAGCAGTTGGGATAGTTTTCTAGGTTTTCTTGTATATGGGTAAGCTGATATCCTAAAGGAAGAGCTCTGTGGGTTGTTCTCCAAAATATTTCTTTCTTTTTATTTAAAACCCATTTTTGTCTTGACCACTAAAATGGGTTTGTGTCTATTTCTGAGATCTTTATAGTGTTATTGCTAGTGTCTGGTGACCTGTGTAGCAAGCTAAGCACTTCTTTAATAGAGAACTGCAGCACACTGAGCTTTCCTATTATTATGCCAGGGCCAGTTATATTGTACCTTCTCCTGGAATCTTTTCCAGGCTATTATGTAAGGTTTCTATTAGTCAGGCCATCCTCTTGTTTTACAATGGGTTTGTGATAAGGCTGCTGCAAGTGCTAGGCCTCTTTTGTTTCTAAGATTTACTTCTATAAGCTTTTTTTCTATATTTGCCCAGAATGTATGTCCTGTGATAAGCTTTAATAGCACTGAGAGGAGTCTTGCATCCAGCATGTCTTTGGGGATTGGTGCTGCTAGTCCTCCCTGACAGAGCTCCAGTTAGAAGATTGAGTAGTAAGGAAGCATTTTGGAGTTGCCTCTGATCCATTTTGTTATGAATGTGTTGATATTGTTAAGTATACCAGATCTTGGATAGTATAAGAGTTTTTGCTGTTAGGATCTTTCCCTTAAAAGAGAGGTTTCGCTGTTGGAAGTCTTGTATTTTCTCTTTTATCTTTTTTGTAAGGTTTGTCCAAAGTGTGGTTGCTATAAGTCCTTTTGTGCTAATATTAAATCTCAGAATATTTAGAGTATCAAGGCTATTATTATTTTGAACTCTTGCTGATCTTCGAGTTCAATCCTGCAGGCATTCTCTGTGTTTGGCACTAGGGCTAATTTGAGTTTGTTAATTTTGGCATTTGAGGCTTTCCCATAAGTGGAAAGTATTTTAAAAAGTGTTGACCAGTCTGAGGGTGAGCCAATGCCTATTGAGAATGCCGCTACTTTAAAGCTTGTATTATTGATTGGGATACTGTTAATTTCTTAGTTGATCTTTTGAATTAAGGGGTTGGTTGCTATAACATTGAGTAGAGAAAAAAGAGGATCTCCTTGTCTCACACCTTGCTTCACTCTAAAAGGTTCTGAGATTTGCCCTGCATCTAGTATATGTGCTTTTTGTGTTGCAAAAAGTACTTTGACAATGTTTATAAACTTGGGATTGAAATTCATTTTTTCCAATACTGTTTGGATGATTCACTCCGTCAAAAGCTTTTTGTTGGTCTAGTAGCAATAACCAGTGTTACTTGGATTGGTCATCCTGTCTATGATTAATCTCTTTGCAATGAATACTTGTTGGGATGGCTCTATGATCTGGTTGCAAATTGGGTTGAAAAATTTTCATAAAGATTTTGGCATCTGCATTAACAAGGGATATGGGTTTTTAGTTGTTAATATCTGCAAGGTTTTTTGCTTTTTTGGGGATAAGCATGATTAAACTAGTACTCCAGGAGAATAGAGTTTGCCCCATGTTTAAGACATGATTAAAAAGTTTGACTAAGGTTGGAACAATAAGTTCTTTGGTGTCCTTGTAGAATTCATACATGAGCCTGTCAGAGCCTGGATCTTTGTTATTTGGCAGTTTGTCAATTGTGTTGCCAACTTCCTCTCCTGATATTGGTTTTACCAATTTCTGATTTTGGTTGCTGGATTCTTGTATTAGTCAGGGTGCATGTCACACTGAGTGATAAATCAATAATAAAAATATATAAATTTACTATAAACTTTAAGCAAAACATCTTTTTTGGTTTACATATTAACTTTTTTTTCAAATTTTGAGATTAAGCATATCAAGAATAGTAAATTAAGATTATTTAGAGCATTTTTTAAAATTTAGCTAAAAAATTTGCTAAATTTGTAAAATTTTATTAATAAAATTTGCCAAATTTGCCAAATTTTATTAATAAAATTTATTAAATTTGCTAAATTTGCCAAATTTTATTAATAAAATTTATTAAATTTGCTAAATTTGCCAAATTTTATTAATAAAATTTATTAAATTTGCCAAATTTTATTAATAAAATTTATTAAATTTGCTAAATTTGCTAAATTTTATTAATAAAATTTATTAAATTTGCTAAATTTGCTAAATTTTATTAATAAAATTTATTAAATTTGCTAAATTTTAAAAAAAAGTACTCTAAATAACCTTAATCTACTATTCTTAATATACTTAATTCCAAAATTTGAAAAAAAGTTAATATGTAAACCGAAAAGGATGTTTTGCTTAAAGTTTATATAAATAACACTCATATATCAACAGGTGTGACATATTCTCTAACTGGTATTAGGTTTTGTTGAGTTAAGAATTTGGCTATAGTTCTCTATACTTGGGCTTCTTGCATTTTGTATTTTTGAATGGCAGAAGATTGTTTGTTTCTTTTTAAATAGCATGAAGAAGTATTTGGTTGATTTTTTCCTTCCTCTATCCATTTAGTATTTGATCTAATCTGCTATTTTTCTGACATTGCTGAAAGCTCCTGGACTTTTAGATTAAGCTTTTCTGTTTATTTTGTATTGTTTCTTGTAGAGTTTTTGTATATTTCTTTCTGGGTCCCAGGAGAATTTACCTGCCATGGTGATGGATTTGATTATGCATTTGTATAGATCCCATGCTTCGATTTCTTGTATGTTTTGTAGTTCAGTTATAATGTTTTTTTTGATTTTTGCAATGCCCCAGAGTTTTTTGTCGAATTTCTACAGTGGGCTGCTATAGTTTTTGGCTTTAAGATTAAGCCCACTCTTGACCAGTAAGTGGTCTGAATTGTGCAGATATTCTGACCTAGATAACTGTAGCCTTCATCAATGAAGATATAGTCAAGACGGGTTGCTATCTTTTGGTTGTTATGTGTGCTTTGGTAAAATGTAATAAATGAGCTTTTATTTGTAAAGAGTGCTAGGTCTGTGTACCCACTAAGGCAGTTTCTGAGTATTTCTCTAGAAGGGTCATTTTGTGCTACTGCTTGGCTTATTCTATTGATTGTGGGTCGAGATTGGTATTAAAATCTCCTGCAATTATACTTATATTGCCTTCTAAGCTTTCAGAAGTCCAGTCTCTTAAAAACTTTATATGATCACCTTGGCTTGGTGGGGCATATACATTTGTAAGTATGTATGGTTGTTGTTTAATTTCTGTTTCTGCTATTAGTATTCTTCCTTCTTGTAATACTTCGGAGTTGGAGAGTTTGATGTTTTTCTTGCCAGCTAGAATTGCTGTTTTTGAGAACCAGATGGAGTCATAGCTCCACTGTTGTGCTAAAAATTATATGTCTTGAGTAGTATAAGTGTTTTTTGTGCTTTGGGTCTGTTATTTAGACCTTTAACATTTAGTGTAGCTATTTTAATCATGAATTTTAAAGAGAAGTAAAGATACTACACTTGGGTTGTGGCCCTTGTGCTTATTTCTTGTATGCGAATAGACCCTGGTGGGACCTACCTGTGTTCTTGTATAGTTGGAATCCGTGTGATGCATTTTTTGCTTTTTGTTTTTCTTGTAGCTTATGGTTGTAAAGGGCTCTTCCTATATTTTGATAGGGTTGGCCTTGCCTTCCTGTGATCAGCATTATCTGTTGTTAATAGGACTTTTGTAGACATTGCCTCTATGTGATTAGTATTAATAGCACTTCTGTGGGTGTTGTCTCTGTATAATTGGTGTTGATTGGGCAGTGTGTAGATTAAGTTTTTCTATTAAGTCTGTTTCCATCACCTCTGGTTTTGGTTTGACCATCTTTGCCTTTTGCTCTGGTTCTGTGTCCTTGGTGTTATCATGTTTGTTTGGTTTAGTAGCAGTTGAATCTACCTTTGTGTAAGAGTTATCTGCACTAAAGTTCAGTTCTGTAATCGAGGCAATTACAGCTCTGGCTTTTTATCTTTGTTCACTAGTTTTTCTTAAGTGTTGTCAGAGTTCTATTAATTCTTTTAATTCTTTGCAGTTATTTTTAATATGGCCTTCCCTATCGCAATAGAAGCATACTTTGGGTGCTTCCTTTTATTAAATTCTTGAACATATATCTGGGTTATTTGTAGTCTCAAAGTTACAGCCATTGGTCCAAGCAAACTGAGGTTCCTTTATATAATAGTGGTTTTATTGCAGAGATTTTGCCTACATCCTGAAAAACTTCAAGGATATTGTTGTATTGATTTGATATCTCCTATGAGCATATTATTGAGCTTGACTATAAGGAAGGAGTGGTTAGAATTTACAGGTAAGTGCCAATTTGAAGAACTTTGGTACCAACTAGATCATCACCCAACTTTATAGCTAGTGCTGTGATAATATTATTTGTAGAGAAGTTTTCTAGTTTTTGAATGTCTAGAATAAGTGTATTCTTATTCTTTGAGCAAATTTTTTGTCTTGGGGTAGAGTTTGTAAATACAGCTTTCCCTCCCTTGAGTTTAGGGAAGAGGTTAGACCACTGTCTTGGTTTGGACTCTTTATCATTAGTTGTAGCAATTTCTGTTAAAATGGTAGATTTAGGAGTCGTCTCTTGACTTGGGGATGTGTCACTTGCTGATTGGTTCTTTTTGTCAGACATGTGTTCTGTATTTGGACTTGCAGTTTCATTAGACTTTAATGTTGTTGTTGTTATATTCACACTACATGTCTCAGTTTGTTTTGGGGGTCAACCTCAGTGGTGTTGGGCTGCTTTGCTTTATTTGTTGTTTGGTACACATTTGTTTTGTTGTTTGTTTGAACGTGGTTTGTTTTTGGGTTGGCTGTGGTTTTATGTGTTCTTTGAGGCTCTTGGGAAGCCTTTGCCTCAATGCTCTTTAGTTTTGCTTCTTCTATCTCCTCTATTTGTGCAGCCCAACTAGTCTCTGCATTTTTGGCTTCAGAAAAGACAGTGTCTGTAGTAGTTACTGTTTGGTTGTTAGATTCCTGGATGCTTTGGTTTTCTAAATTTTTATCTTTACTCTCAGTTGTAAAAAACTCAAAAATTTTTTCCTCCTTGTTCAGGACTGCTTAAGTTTCTTGTTTTGTTGTTTGCCAATATTCGATACAAAGTATTTTCTTTTCATGGGCACTAAGGCCCTAGTTCCTTTAAGGTTGTTTGAGGAAAGGGAGAGAGTTTTTTGTTGAAATTTTGGTTTGTTCGAATTTTCCAGTGATGTACTGGAAAAAGTTATCAATCTTAATTAGATTTTCAATAAACTATATTCATTTTCAAAGTTTTTTCAGATATTGCCCTGAGTAAATTTTTGACTATGACTTTTCTTTTACTAGAATGTGTTAACATTTTTTTAAAGCCTGCTTGCTAATATATCATATAAAGTTGTTGCTTTATATCAATCGGGTAAAGTTTTAATAGACATAATACTACACTTTCTCTTGTATTTATTAATTTGCTAATGGTTTATTATATAGCGATTATTTAGATATCGTTCTATGATTGGGAAATTCTATATACATATGGGTCAGTATATAGCAAAACAAGATTTAAAGACATTTTGAAAAAAAACTCTCTCCGGTCCATCACTGGATCATAATAGAAACAAAAATCACTAGCATAGTTCCTTTACTAAATTCTGACAGGGTGAAAACCCTTCAGCCGACCAAATGTAAATTTGTTACACTAGACATGGGCAAATAAACTAACAAAAAAGCTAAGCTCTCAGATAACAACAAAAAAGAAAATAAAGAAAAATCTTCCACTTCACAGAAAACAATGAAGACAAGGAGAACCTAAAGTTGGCAAACTCCTGCTGGGACAGTAACCATGTCTCTGGCCTTAAGAGCTCTGAGAAACTAAAAGAACTAGAACCTAACAAGACCAACACCATTAGAACAACTCAAACAAATGAGAAAGACAAAGGAAAAATGGTGCAAACTGTAACTAACAAGAAAAACAGGAATAAAGTCTTAAGCTCAGATGGCAATGCAGGGTTAAACCCAATGGAACTAAAAGAACCAGACGCCTTAAATGCCACAAGTAGCTGGGCAATTCAAATCGAAGAGGCTCAACTTGGAATTGTAGACAAGAGCGAAAACACTTCTCAAAATGTGAATAAAAAAAACAGCATAAACAAAACCGAACACGTGAGTCAAAAAAATGATACAAACAATGACATACACATGAATCTGGAGCTGATAATCAACTAGTAACACATGTGCACCCTGCATATGGGGAAAATAAAGAATCTGTCCTGGGTGCTTTGGCAAGTACATAAAGGCCAACACAACTTCTACATGAGTTACTAAACCAAAACAATGATCTGATCTGTTTACCAAATTCAAAGAAGGAAAAGCCAGCTTTACAAACGCATCGCCAAGATACAAAATCCACTCAAGGAATAATAATGCTTTAATCATCGATATGCATAGCCTAAGTAATGTGTCTACTAATGATATAATTGCAATGTTAGTAATTAAACTTAATGGAGACCTTATAGCTGTAAAAAGTTACTTATTCAAAGGAAAATAGGCCTCTATTGAGCTAATCTTCAATAGTATAGAGAGCACGATTCTATGCCGTAGAAGAAATTACAATTTTTCAACAAACCTTTTTCAGTTACATCCCCATAAACCTTAAATGTTCCTTTCTTACGGTTAAACTTAGAAACACGCCAATGGGCAACATGGATCACACCACAAGTCTCATCCTTGAAGCATTCCAAGATGTTGGTCAAATTGCTACAATTAAGCCTCTTTTATTTGAAGGAACAACTATTAGCTTAGATCAATGGCTAATTACCTTTGAAATAACCATCTATACTCTAGAATTTCAAGAACTACTCACGTAGGGGATCACAAAGTGTCAACTAAGTGGAAGGAAGCCCCGAAAGTTTGTTATTACTGTGAGAAGGAAGGACACATCAAAAAGGAGTATAGCGAACCCATGGCCTCAATAGAAGCTAGACGCTTACTTAAGGCAGCCAGACAAAGAAAACAAGATGCAGAGACTTGCAATACAACCACTATGAACTCTGCATTCAGCCCAAACAATCCCTATGTCAAAGGCACTTCTGAAAATGTAGTAACAGATACCTCACCTGAGAGTACAGATATATCAATCGCCTCTAAGGTAAATACCAAAGGCAGAGAATCACAAAACATGGTAACTGAACCAAAAGCAATAACAGAATCTTCACCCAAAAGTATAGATATATCAATTGCTTCAAAGACAAATACTAAAGGTGGAGAACCACAAAACATGCAAATTGAATCAAAAACAATAACAGAAACCTCACCTGAGAGTATAGATATATCAATTGCCTTAAAGACAATTACCAAAGGTGGAGAACCACAAAATATGGAAATTGAACCAAAAGCAATAACAAAGGGGACAGTCAAACCCATACCAGATACTTTAATAAGTGAGGCACCTTCAAACGAGCTGGACTTTGGTTCTACTTTTAACAGCCCACAAGAGGTACCTTTCACAGTTGTCTCTTATAAAAAGCCAAAAAACAAGAACGATAGGAAAAAGGATAACAAGGTTAGAAAGCACCCTTATCTAGTTCAACATCATAAGGCCTCCAGGAGCACCCAACAGGGTACGATACGCCTGAACCAGGAAATCAGCACTAGGAACCTCTACTCTTGGTATAGCTTTATATATACATTCTTCTATTATGTTCAAAGTCGCTATACTTAATGTTAAAGGCCTAAATAACAGACCTAAAGCTCAAAAAACACTGACACTTCTCAAATCATATAACCTCAACTCACCCTAACTCTAACCACTAACCTAATCTTACCCTCACCTTAACCTTTACCCTAACCTTTAATCTTACCCTCACCCTAACCTTAATCTAATTCAACTTTACTCTATTCTCCAATTTTACCTTAAAAGTAAAACATTTAGCTCATCGTGTTTTAATCGGATAAAGATTATTTTTCAAATATGAAGATGCTTCAGGGTAATTTTTACATAATAATTCAAATCGTATTTCAAACACTTCTTCAAACAATGTATTTCTACAGGATAAAAAATTTTCCTGAAATTCTGTGTATTGTGAGCCAAGAGAACGTGTTAAACGTTTTTTAATATTCTGCATAATGTGGAAAATACAATGTAGATATTGTGTAGTTGGAAGATTTGCCTCAATCACTAGTCCTAATCCAGTATCACAATCAGAAAATATTGTTGATGGAGATAAATTATCCACTGCTATCATAAAATTATTGAGAACCCAAGAATATGATGATGTCGTTTCATCAGACATCAGCGCCTGTGCTAATAATCTTGAATGTCGGTGTTCATCAACACCTACAAACAAACATAGTGCTAATCGATATTTGTTTGTTCGTGCTGTATTGTCTGTTAAGATAACATCATGATGTCTTAAATAAAGACTTTTCTGGTGTGGCGTTATCCAAAATAAATGGAAAAGACGGTTTTTAACACAGCAATCTGCTATAAACCATGTAGGATCTTCTTTTTTCAATGTTCTTAATGTTTTTAAAAGATTAGATGCATCGTTTTCAGGATCTTTCTCTAGATCGATTACATTGCCCTTTCTAAAATGCTGGATCACATTGGCTAAGTCCTTATTTAAAAATAATTGATCCTCAAATTCACCTTGCAAGAGTTGCCTTAATGTATGCTGGCTAATTTCATGAACAGTGTTTATATAAAATCTGATCTTATCTATTATCTGTTGAGGAATATGCTGGTATATGTTGATAAAATATGCATTATCAGGATCTAATGTATGACTATAGTGGATAAGGTTTAATTTAGTAATAGACGGACCTAGAGAACTCAATGGCCAGCATATGTTGATAAAACATGTGCAATTCGTTTTAATAGACTTTCGGTTACGTTGTTGTGAGGGATCATTTTAGATTTAAAGTTACCAGCATGTCGGCATTCAAAACAATACTTATAAACACCACCCTTTTTATCAAGTTTTTTATCTTGAATTCGCCAAGCAAAACCTTTCCTTTGTCAATATACCAATAAAACTAAATTTACATGGTCCCAGTGTTCAAACTGCATTCCTACACATAAATTTGATGCTTGCTCAAAAGCAGTACTAGGTATTGACAGTGTTCCAGGACCCTTTTAGATATACCATCATGAGTATTTGAAGCGACAGATATTTGTTGGGAAAAAAACTCTTCTAAGACTCATCATTCTCATTATTTTCATCATTATCAGTTTGACTTAACTAAAAAAGAAAGTTAGGTAAGTATAAAGCACTAGGGTAAATAATATAATGATTGAGTATAAAACTCTAGAGTAAATAATAAAATCTTCTTGACTGGTAAGTTCATTATTAGTTTCACTTTCAAGGTCAGTTTGACTCATCTAATAATTTAGGTAAGTATAATGTACAGTATATGAAAAAAGAACAGTGTAAAGAACTAATACATACTGGGTTTGCTAATTAGCAACACAAAAGTTGATGACAAACAGCTTGGCAAACAAATTTATGGTAAGCAACTTGCGGCAGGCAGCTTCTAGTGTCAACTAGCGATGTGTTACTTATATAGTAGCTCAGAGACAACGTACTGAGGTAAAAACTTGGATAAGCACAGATCTTATAACCTGGGCAATGACTTGTAATGAGCACTTGTGTAATATTAGACACGGATCTCTTACAGTGTTTTATTTAATTAAAGAGGTAAGAGGCAGCAAGCTTTTAATAAAAAAGAATATGAGGACACAGCAAATTAACTAGCGAAATAACTAAAGTAAACCTTGTAACGAAAAGCAAAAAAAAAAAATTGAATTTTAGTGTAATACAAATCACGTGAAACTGCCTACACGTATATATTATTCACGTGACTAATCAGTAAAATGATGATTATTAAAATCATCCTGGATGATCTATATAATAATTCTATTTTTAATAATATTAAAATAATGCTTTAAAAATATTTTATTTTAAATTATTTTTAAAATATAAATAATATTAAAATAATGTTTTAAATACATTTTTAAAAAGCTTATTTTAAAATATATTTAAAATATAATAATAATATTTTTATAACATTTTTAATAATATTAAAATAATACTTTAAAAATATTTTTAAAAAGCCTATTTTAAATTATTTTAAAATATATTTAAAATATAATAATAATATTTTTATAATATTTTTAATAATATTGAAATAATGTTTTAAAAACATTTTTAAAAAGCTTATTTTAAATTGGTATTAAAATATAATAATAATGTTTTTATAATATTTTTAATTATATTAAAATAATGTTTTAAAAACATTTTTAATAAGCTTATTTTATTTTGTTTTTAAAATATAATAATAATGTTTTTATAATAGGTTTAATAATATTAAAATAATACTTTAAAAACATTTTTAAAAAGCTTATTTTAAATTATATTTAAAATATAATAATAATATTTTTGTAATATTTTTAATAATGTTAAAATAATGTTTTAAAAATATTTTTAAAAAATTTAGATTAAAATATTTTTAAAATATAACAATAATATATTTATAATATTTTTAATAATATTAAAACTATATTTTAAAAATATTTTTAAAAAATTTATTTAAACCTATTTTTAAAACATAATAATAATGTTTTTATAATAATATTATAATATTTTTAAAACATTTTTAAATCTTTATTTTATTTTTAAAAATTTTTATTATATTATTAATACATTATAAAAATATTATAAAAATGTTTTTTTTTATAAAAACATATTTACTGTATAAGCATGGAATAACGCTCCCCTGCGCATTAATTGATTAACCTGCACATTATTTTGAGTATATGCATATGTGTTATTTTGAAATAAATAAGAACTGATTTTCAGAGCCAAATACTTTTAAAATAACGCTTATGCATTTTGCATAGTGTAACTATCATAAGGAGAGCTTGCAATTGTCATGCCGAGTTTAACTCAGATGGTTGACGTTAGAAGTGTCACATGAATTGGGTGATAAATTATATTATTTGGATATTCATGATTTATTATAAAAAAGAATGTGAATATATGTGATATTTATTTATTAAGGAATTTTGGAGATCGAATGTTATCCTTAACTAAGGATGAAAACACACTCTTATATACATTCTAATTTTACAGATGGTCAACATCAGGATCTAAATGCTTACGCTATAGATTCTATATTTGCTCAAGGTGCAATGATTACAAGTTTATGCAAGCGTGTATGAGCGTAAATGCTCTGGCATGAAATAAGCTACCAAGAATACATAATAATGCCTAATATTACTATAGTAAGATTAATATGACTATGATGGTACAATTATGGAAGATGAGTGATGACTTAAAAAATTAAACAAATATGGAAGTAAGGAGACACAGGAAAAATTAATCGTTACAATAGTGAGACCTAAAGACCTGTCACATAGCAATTTACCAGTAGCCCTATAAAGCTTCACATAACAGTATTAGATATTTACACTCACACTACAATAAAATACTAAGTTTATATGGCCCAGGTCAATTATGCAATTGAATTGTCGCACCAATCAATTACAGGTTATATCAGGTGCGCGTTAATTCGGGACGCGCATGAGCGCTAATTTGAGATACTATATACTATTTTGGGGGTGTCTGGATTTCAAAATAACGCCCATGCTCGTTATTTCGCGCTTATACGATATTAAATATTAAAAACATTATTATCTTATTATAAAAACATATATAATTTTTTTTAAGTTTCAGTAAAGTAGTTTGTCTAGTATTTTCAAGATTGCAGGCATGGTAAAGGCTTTTCCATGCTGCATTTGCATCAGTAAGCCATACTTTTATCTGTTGATCAGTAGAGAGGAGAGAGGAAATTTGGAGCTAACATTTTTTGTTGATTTCAGTTATGCAGAAATTGAGATAAGTAGGAATAGGAAGATTGTTGCTTGTTGTTTGTTTTACTTTTCTAATTGTATTGCCAAGTTTTCTAAGGTTAGTATACAATAGTGAGGCCTTGGGAGTAAAAGTGTATTAAAAGTTTCGAACTGTAAACTTCTTGTTAGAGATATGTTTAAATACTGCTGTAATGATACTAGTTTGGATCTTATGTCAGATAGTCTCCAGTGACTCATTTGTATTAATAGTAAGCAGGGTTTTGTACTGTAAGAGGTGGCTATTTACTTGGTTAGCATACTCTTCCCATTGCTCTTTGCTCATAGCTTTATAGTTGAATATCCTTCTGCGAGTACATGTTTTATGTCTCTGTTGGCCAGTATAGGCATGGGGAAATAACCAGTATGATAGTAAAACTTTGTGATCACTGCCTATACTAGTACTAGTATCAACTATCATATAGCTTGTAAGGTATTGTAAGATAGGTTGATATGCCCAAATGTAATCTATTTCACTTTGGTATCTAGAACTCTGCCATGTAGGGGCTGACTGGCTAGTATGTGCTGCTAGATTATACATGCTATTAGTAGAGAGAAATTGAAGAAGCTTGTGTTTAATAGTATTTGACTGACTATTGCAAGCAGATGTATTGAAGTCACTAAGAATAATTGGAAGGAGGTTTTTGGCTAAGACCTGTTGGATCCATTAAATAATAGTATTTTGTGTTTGTAATCTGAGCTGGGAATCATTACAAGGCAAATAAGTAGAGATAATATGGAACTTGAA